AGAAATACTAAAGTCACCCTCGTGGGGAAGCAAGTTAAAAAGCCCAGCGGGACTTGTGTGCTTTTCTAAGTCCTCATTGTCAATAAACGTTAAGAGAGGACGTCACTCTGCATTCTTGCTGTGTTTTGAGACAGGTTCTCCCTGCGCAGCCTCGAGCCTGTGGGCCTCCTGCCTCAGCCTCCCTAGAGCTGGGATCGCAGGTGTGCGCCCCGCCAGGCTAACTGCATTCCTGGATGGGAGACTGTTTCCATGGAGATTCTTCCACACCGAGGCTGGGCTGCGAAATTTCCAGGATTTCTGTGGTAGGTACTTCTGGCCGCCACTAGATGGGGAAGCCAAGCAATAGTGTGGAATTTCTCAGTGTTAGAGGAAAATGTAAATGACAAGGAGGCCAAGAAGAGAGAGGTGTGGCTCAGCCTTAGACGGTGTGCTGAGTGTGTAGGAGCTCAGAGAGAAAGATAAAGAGACAGAGACACACAGAGACAGAGACAGAGCAAAGCAGAGGAGCCGAAGAGGCGGGGGTGGGGAGAGAGAGGGGAGCCCAGTCCTTCACAGCACCCCGTCCCTGCCCTGCTAAGCCCTAACTTTGAGTCGGGCCTAACTGCACAAGCCCAGCTCCCCCAGGCCCCCTTGCCTCGGCCTCCAGAAAGCCAGGATTACAGGCAAGCAGCAGCGCAGGGCTCGGTCTGTTGAGGACTGGTGCCCGGGAAGGCTGCTCCCCTCTGAGCCCCACGCCAAACATCTAGGACGGACACTATGGTCCCATCCTTGGGGACACCGGTCACTTGACGAGGGCCACAGCCTGGCCCTGCCATTCACGGGACTCGCCGGGCTGGGCCCCTAGGTGGCCCGCAGGCCCCCCTTCTCACCCGCCGGACCGCCAGGCTCCTGCCCTCTCCTGGACAGACAGCTCTGGGCAGGGATTGCTCAGGACGCTGGGGCCAGGACCTGCAGCTGCGCTGCGCTGTACCTGCTGTGATTGTACCTGGCCTCTGGACCTGTGGGCACAGGGAGGGCACGCCAGGCAAGGTGCACCAACTGGAAACTGCACCCTGTCATTGTCCTGAGGGACCCGGCCCCAGCCCACATCAGGAGGACACAGGAGGAGTCTGGGGCTCAGCAGCCTGCAGGTCCATCAACAAATACACTAGGAGAGAAAACATGGTATTCATACTATGGAATACTGCTGTGCTTCTGTGAACAAGGTGAAATCCAAGCCATTTGTGGGAAAATGGGGGCGCCTCAAGACCATGACGTTCTGCGTGACATCAGTCAGACTCATGGGCTTATGCGCAGCGAGGCTTCTCCGATATGAGGAACCCGAAACACAGATCAAGAGCACAATAAACGACGCACGGGAAACGGAGATGGAGCTTCCCCGAGGGGACACGCACCAGCAGACGGGAGGGGCATGAGCTGAGGAGAGAACGCAGACGAGTCACGCCGGGACGCATCGACATGGCCACTCGCACCGAGAAGGTCGGCACTGTCGGTAAGTACGGGACTCGCTGTGGTGCCTCCCTCCGGAAAATGGTGAAGAAGATTGAAATCAGCCAGCGCGCCAAGTGCAGCTGCTCCTTCTGTGGCAAGAGCAGGAGAAAGAGGCGCGCCGTGGGGCTCTGGCCCTGTGGCTCCTGCGCCAAGGCCGCGGCTGGTGGCGCCTGGACCTGCAACACGGCCTCTGCCGTCCCAGTAAGTCAGCCATCAGAAGACGGAAGGAATTGAAAGACCAGCAGACGCTCTTACCATGCACCCCTAGCCTATAGTAAGTGGGTTAACTTATATAATGAAAAGGGGAAAAAAGTTTGTTATTTAAGTTTTGAAATGTAGATATGAGCGACAGGAGAACCAGGCAGTTCAGCCTCGCCCAGCATTACTGAAAGTAAGGTTCCCCTACTTGCTTTTCTAGTCTAGAGGGCAGGGATTCTAGACCAACTGTAGTCCAGGGCCACACCCATCCTCGGCTGGCTTTGTGCAAGCTCCTCAAGGACAGTACCCTTCAAAGAAAAAGATAATTTGGAACTTCCATAGTTCGTGTGCCTTAGATGACCCCGATCAGTACATTTTAGACTTGTGAATGTTCATCTGGTCCCTGTGCTTTGCCAAGCTTGTTCCAAGTAGGTACTTTAGACCACTGAGCCATCTCTCCAGCCCCTAAAGTGTGTATTCTTGAAGGTCTAAAAAGAACTAAAACCAAGACCTCTAGCTATTTTTTGTATTCATTCATTAATTTTTTTTTTTTTTTTCAGAACTGGGGATTGAACTCAGGCTCTTGTACTTGCCAGGTAAGCACTTGTCCTACTGAGCTATCTCCCCAGCCCCAACTTCTAGTTATTTTAAATTTTAGCTATTTACCAGGAGAAAGATTAACACAATTTTGATTTCTTAGAATCTTTAATAGAGGCATGGTAAGACATACTTCCTAAGATGCTAATTCAATAGAGGGACAAATTACTCTTACAAATAAGTTCATTACTCAGTCAGTGCCAGATATTAAAAAAGAGCTACAGGGGGCC